CGCTAAGCATCTTTTGCATATGCTTATTTGCCATCTGTATCTTCAGTAAGGTGACTGTTCAGGTCTTTGTCCATTTTCAAATTGGGTTTTTCATTTTCTTATTGTTGAATTTTAAGTGTCCTTTGTGTATTTTAGATAACAATCTTTTTCCAGATATGTCTTTTACAAATCTTTTCTCTTCTTCTCTTCTCTTCTTCTCTTCTGTTCTCTTCTCTTCTTTTTGAGAGAGAGAGAGCACATGTGCAAGTGGAGGGGGGAGGGGCAGAAGGAGAGGGAGAGAGAATCTCAAGCAGAATCTACACTCAGTGCAGAGTCCGACATGGGGCTCAGGCTCACAGCCCTGAGATCGTGACCAGAGCTGAAATCAACAGTCAGAGGCTTAACCGACTGAGCCACCCAGATGCCCAGCAAATATTTTTGCCTAGTTTCTGGCTTGTTATCTCATTCTCCTGACGATGTCTTTTACAGAGCAGAAGCTTTTAATTTTAAGGAACTCTTGCTAAGTTTCTTAGAGCTTAATACATTTTTACACACACATATCCTATGGAACCACCACCCAAATCAAGATATAGAATATTTCCAGAACCCCAGAAGATTCCCTTCTGGCCCCACCCCTAAAGGTAAACCACTGTTTAGGATTTATCATAGGTTAGTTTTGCCTGTTTTTTAGCTTCACGTAAACAAAATCACTCAATACATTCAAGTTTGTGTCCAGCTGCTTTTGCTGAACATAATGTTCTTTTTAAAATTATTGCTGCATTATAAGAATATACCATAATCTGTTTGCCTTTAGGTGGACATTTGGGTTTTTCCAATTTGGGACCATTATGGATAATGCTTTGAACATGTTTGTAAGTGTTTTTTAATACACACATGCATGCATTTATATGGGTTTATCCCTATGTGTGAAATTGCTGGGACATCAGGAGTGCATATGAAAAACCAATTCAAATGTTGGCAGCAGGGGAGTGGGGGGGGCAGTGTTCTCTACACCAACAGTGTTTGTGTGAACTCACATTCCTGTCAGCAGAGTTGGAGAATTCCAAGTGCTCCATATTTTTGTCAGTACTTGGTGTTTTCTTCTCATTACATTTTAGCCACTCTGGTGGTTACATACTGCAGTTGCATTCTGATTTTAACTTTTATATCCCTGATGCAGAAGCATACTTTTTCATATGCTTGTTGGCCTTTTGGGATATCCTCTTTTGTGAAAAGTCTGCTCAAGGGATTTGCCCACTCTTTTCTTATTGTGTTGTCTTGTCTTTCTTATAATCGTCAGGAGCTATTTAGGTATTAGATATTCTGAATGTAAGACTTTTGTTAGGCATATGTATTAAAAATGTCTTCTCCTCCTCTATGGGTTGACTTTTTACTCTTGATGAAATCTTTTGATTAGCAGAAGTTCTTAGTTTGATGAAGTCCTGCTCATCAAACATGCCCTTTGTGGCCAGGGCTTTTGTGTCTTCCTTGAGAAATTCGTTACCTACCGTAGAGTCATGAAAATAATCTCTGTTATCTATTAAAAGGTTTAGTGTTTCACCTTTCACATTTAGATTTACAATCTACCTGGAATTAATGTGTGTACGATGAGAGGTAGAGCTCAAGAGACACTGTTCTTGTGGATATCCACTTGATCCAACACCACGTTCCAGAAAGTCCTCTCTTTCCCCACTACGCACATCCATCACGTGACTGTCCATGTGTGGATCTGTTCCTGGACTCTGCATTTTGTTTCATTAGTCTGTTTGTCTATTCTTACACTAATGCCACACTGTCTGAATTACTTGAGCTTTATAAAAAGTCTTGAGAAAGAAAATCTGACAGACAAAGCCTCTCTCACCTTAACATTTCTTCTTCAAAAGTGCCTTGGCCAGGGGTGCCTGATTGGCTCAGTCCAAAGAGCATGGGACTCTTGATCTCAGGGTCGTGAGTTCGAGCCCCACGTTGGGTATAGAGATTACTAAAGAAAATAATAATAAATAAATAAACAAATAAATAAATAAACCAAAAGTGCCTTGGCTATTCTTGGCCCTTTGAATTTATATAGGATTTTTAAAAATCATCTGGTTAGTTTCCTCAAAATCTCTGCTGGGATTTTTATTGGGACTACATTGCATCTATAGATTAATTTCAGGGAGAGCTGATGTCTTTATAATTGAGTCTTTAAATCCATGAACAAGGCCCATCTCCCAACTTCTTTACATTTTCTACAATTTTCTCAATATCTGCTTTTCTTACGCACAGAGAAGACTTACATATCATTTGTTAGATTTATTCCTAGGTAGTTCATTTTTTTTCAGTGCTATTTAAATAGTATCTTTAAAATATTTTGGTTTTTTTTCTTCTTTTGTACATTGGCCTGTATAAATTCCTTATTAATTTCTATAGTTTATAGTTTTTTTTGGATGTCCTATTTTTAAAAAATCATGTCACCTGTGAATCTTGACAATTTTGTTTCCTTCTTTCCAATCTCCATGCATTTCTTTATCTTGCATTTTAGCACTGGGTATGACTTTGAGCATGAGGTTGAATGGAAGTGATACCCGTAAGCACATTTGTGTTTTCCCATCTCAGTGGGAAGGCTTTCAAGATATCACCATTCAGTATAATATTTGCTGTAGGCTTTTTATAGATATCCTTTCTTAGATTAAAGAAAATCCCTTTCATTTCTGGTTTGCTGTAAATGTTCTTACTATGAATTTTATCAAATGTTTTTTCTGCATCTATTAAAACAATCACATGATTTTTTTCCTTTATTCTGTTGATGTGTCAGATTCCACAGATTAATTTTTGAAAGTTAAATCAACTTGCATTCCTAGAGATACTAGTTTTTTCTACATTGTTGGATTTGATTTGCTAATATTTTGTTTAGGATATTTGCATCTATGTTGATGAGAGACATTAGTCTATAATTTTCTTTCTTTGTATGTCCTCATTAGGTTTTGTTATCAAAATTATGTTGGCCTCTTTTTTTTTTTTAAGATTTTATTTATTTATTTGAGAGAGAGAGAGAATGAGAGACAGAGAGCACGAGAGGGAAGAGGGCAGAGGGGGAAGCAGACACCCCGCTGAACAGGGAGCCCGATGTGGGACTCGATCCCGGGACTCCAGGATCATGACCTGAGCCGAAGGCAGTCGCTTAACCAACCGAGCCACCCAGGTGCCCTATGTTGGCCTCTTAAGATGAATTGAGGGCTGTTTGATATTCTCCTATTCTCTGAAACTGTTTGTGTAATGTTGGTGTTATTTTTTTTTCCTTAAATATTAGAAGAATTCACCAATGAAGCCATCTGGAACTGCCTTTTTGTGTGTGGGGGCGGGGGCGGCGGTGCAAAATTCTTCTGATAAGTTCTTTTCAGCTAAAATAAGCCAAAATTGATTTCTGGTGCTTAAAACTGAGGTAGTATTATACAATATTATAGATCATAATGAAAGAAGGGAATCACAAATGAGCCTAGATTTGAGGAAGGTGAAGTCATATACTTTGGTTTGAAATTTATTAAAATTAATGCGATGTCAAAAAGGAAATTTTCAAAAAGCAAGTCAATATTCTTCTAATCAGTGAACCAAAGAATGTTCTATTTTCTTTTTCCTTTAAATATGTGTCATGTGGTTTTGTGCGAGAAAGTTGATTTTTTTCCTTTTAAAGCTCAAAAGGCTAAATTTATTAGAGAAGTTCAAATAATGGAATTAAAGGAGAATTCTGAACCTCATAGATTTTGTGGTTGTAGGAAAAGAGTGAATTCAATTAATCAAATGATGTGGGAAACAGGCAGAAGAAAAATTATTACATTTCCTTACTACTTAGAGCCCACTGACAAATCCTTGAAACAAGCAGAGTGACATTCCTCTAGGGCCTGGATGTTGATACTATGCTAAGGGCAAAAGACAATCTTAGCCTTACCCCTAGGATCCTGTAAGTCTACTTTTACATATGGAAATTCCTTTGGAAACTTCCTTTATCTCTACCCCCGAAGATACCTGTTGGCAATCATCCCCCAAGCATATGACCCACTGATATACATCTGAAGGGTCTCATGACTCAGGTTTTACTAGACAGTAATAAATGACCTTTTCCCAACAATAGCTAGCCCCCTCAAGGTCCTGGAAACCTTGTTTCTAAAATTCCTCAGAGACTTCTGCTATCCCTAAACCCCTCCCAACTTAAAAGTATAGGGGCGCCTACGTAGCTCAGTCGGTTAAGCTTCTAACTTCAGCTCAGGGCATGATCTCAGGGTCCTGGGATTGAGTCCTGCGTAGGGCTCCACACTCAGTGGAGTGTCTGCTTCCCCCCTTCCCCTACCCCTCCCCCACTCATGTTTTCTCTCTCTCTTTCTCTCTCTCTCTCTGTCTCAAATAAATAAATAAAATCTTAAAAAAAAAAAGTATATAATGGGCCACTCCTCATGACCCCGGTGCAGCTCTTTCTGCCCACGGGTCCTGTACCCATGTTTTAATAAAACCACTTTTTTGCACCAAAGACGTCTCAAGAAGTCTTTCTTGGCGATCAGCTTCGAACTCTAACGTCTTTCCTACATCAATACTAGTTTAACACAATGGGTAAAAATGACTACTGAAACATTCCAATGCCATATATAAAGTACTGTCATATGACTTTCTGTTTTGTTTGCCAACCAGTTTTCATGAAAGAATTCTCTTGATTTCACTGTTACATTGAAGGCTTTCAGTCACCTCCATTAATATAGATCTAAAAGATCAACTGTGTAATATTATAATAGGTACATTTTCTTTATGACAATTCACATCTACTACTAGAAACACTACCTGTTGAAGATGTCTCCGCTGGATGGCCAATCCCATGTAATCAGGGACTACTTTTCTGCCAACACATACTTTATCATTTTCTTTCCATAGGAGGCACAAAATTAGTATTTGATGATGTAGGACAGATGCTTGGGGGATGATTGCCAACAGGTATCTGGGGGGGGTAGAGATAAAGGAAGTTTCCAAAGGAATTTCCATATGTTAAAGTAGACTTACAGGATCCTAGGGGTAAGGCTAAGATTGCCTTTTGCCCTTAGCATAGTATCAACATCCAGGCAGTTGAGTCCCTAGAGGAATGTCACTCTGCCTGTTTCAAGAACTTGTCAGTGGGCTCTAAGTAGAAGGAAATTCAATAATTTTTCTTCTGCCTATGTTTCTCACAACAGCATTAAAACATATAAAGACTTCTGTTTTCCAGGAGATGGAATAGATGCACTTTTCCCTATTCTTTCTGCTAGTGCAACAGAGATCCCTGAACATTGTATCTAAAATAAACATAAGATGGCTCTGAAAGTTGTAGAGAAGAAGGAAGACTGACTTGGGAACTTGAGATCTGAGCAATGACATACTGGTGAGTTCCCTGGGTTTGCTTTTGGCCTTGTATTTCTTAGACTGGTGAATTATCATTGAGTTTGGAATCCTGAACCTGCTTTATAATTGTGATTTAACTTTGCTTTATGAGTGAATAAAGCTGACATTGTGGAAAGACACACCTCGTGTGTGCGCCTTCACAGCATCCTCGTGACCCTGGGCCATAAAGCAAACCTCAACGTATTCAAATGGACTGAAATCATATAGAACGTGTTCTTCAACCACAGTGGAGGCAAAGTAGAAATCCGTAACAGAATGATAACAGGAAAATATCTGAACACTTTGAAACTAAACAGCATACTTATAAATAATCCATGGATCAGAGGGAGGTATTAAAGAAATAGCCAATGGAGATAAAGGAGTGCACTTGTCACGAGCACCCGGTGTTGTATGGAAGTGTTGAATCCCTATATGGCACACCTGAAACTAATATTACATTAACTCACTGGAATTGAAATAAAAACTTAAAAAAATTTTAAATTAAAAAAAAAGATAAGTGTTTCTAAAAACAAATTTAAAGAAATTTTAAAAATACATTTAACTGATCTTTCTTTCTTTTTTTTTTTTGAGAGAGCTGGAAATCATCACTCTGTCCTAACAAAAACTAAAAAGCTGAGCAAACTGGGGCACCTGGGTGGCTCAGTCGGTTAAGTGTCCGACTCTTGATCTCAGCTCAGGTCTCCATCTCAGAATCCTGAGAGCCTACTTAAAAAAAAAAAAGAAAGCTGGGCAAACTGAAAAATCAACAACTCTCAGGGTCTGTCAGAGAAGTGAGGTCACAGGGCAAACTGCCGCCTCCAAAACTGGAGAAACCCTGCACGGGGACTGATGAGTCCATGCTGGACTGATCAGCATGGACGAGCTGGAGATGGGAAACCCCAGGGAGACTTCATCATCAAGGGGGCCCCACGCTTCAGTGAATTTTACTCAGGTGCTTGACTGAGGTTCTCACATGAACATTAGAAAAAAAATCCCCTTGTGGTCTGGCAGGAAGAGGGGAGAAAGGACCAATTTGACATATGCCAGAGGGTTCTAGTCTTCTTGGTTTTTTTTTTTAAGATTTTATTTATTTATTTGAGAGAGAGAGAGCACATGAAAGGGGGGAGGCCCAGAGGGAGAAGCAGACTCCCCGCTGAGCAGGGAGCCCCATGCGGGATTTGATCCCCAGACTCCAGGATCATGACCTGAGCCCCAGGCAGTCGCTTAACCAGTTGAGCCACCCAGGCGCCCCCTATTCTTCTTAACAAGGAGAAACCGGTTAGAAACCTGCTCGGGTTCTGTCAACTAAGTGCCCTGGCTCTAGCCTTCCACAGAGAAAGGAAACACCCAGCTCCAGCCCACTTGAGCCGTCCTGGCCCACCCAAGGGGCCGGGGGCATGGTGATGAGGGAGCAGAAGGTCGGCTGAGGACAAAGCACAAGCCTACACCCCGCCATGCCTCCCCGCCACCCCACACTCCCAGGTGGGGTCTGTGCGACATTCCGCAGGCACTCCTGGCTGCCCTAAAGTGAAGGGAAGGAAAAGCAAACGGTTAACTTATAGAGATTATAGTCCTGCAAGACGGGAGTCTCCCTCAGTTTACAAATGTCTTAGTGATTTACTGGGAAAAAGCATTCTTAGCAATAACCAAACTTCCAGAAGGCAGTGTAGATAAAATTAAATGTCTTTATAATCTGCAGCCCATTGACGGATACTTGAATGGGGCAGAGTATAATGTTCCTCCAGGAAGCTCCCAACTGTCTTAATGTTAATGCCCTGCTAGAGGGAAAAACAACCTTAGCTCCACAATGGCAAGACCTCTAGTGTCTTGTAGGTCCTCTTCAGCATTTGAAAGTTCTTTTGAACACCTCCCTTTTCCCTTACCTCCCCCAACTCCAAGTATATAATCAGTCACCCCTTACAACCCTGGTGCAGCAGCTCTTTCTACCCTTGGGTCCTCTCCTCGTGCTTTAATAAAACCACCTTTTTGCACCAAAGACGTCTCAAGAATTCTTTCTTGGCCATCAGCTCTGGACCTCACCGCACCAAACCTCACCTATATTCCAAAACAACATCAGTAGGACTACGAAGCTTCTGCGAAGTTCACAGGCATTGGTATGGACTCATGATAAACCTGAGACCTACTCACGGGACTGCAGAACACTCCCCCTCCCCCACACCTTTCTAGCACATTCCTAAAGGCCTATTTGCAGCAGTTCCTTTTACCCAGTACTTCATGTTCAATTATCAAAAAATTAAGAGACATACTAAAAGGTATAAAACACAGTTTAAAGAGGTGGAGAGAGCATCAGATCCAGACTCAGTTATGACGAGGATGTTGGAATTATCAGACTGGGAATTTAAAAGAACTATGATTAATATGCTAAGGGCTCAAATGGGTAAAAGAGACAGCACACAAGAACGGATGGGCAACGTAAGCAGAGAGGGAGAAATTCTAAGAAAGCATGAAAAAGAAATGCTACAAATCAAAAACATTGGAACAGAAATGAAGAGGGCCTTTAATGGGCGTATTAGTGGACAGGACATGGTTGAGGAAAATCAACAATCTAAACTTGAGGCTATTTGAATGGAAACCTCCAAACCTGAAAATCAAAGAGACTGAAAAAAACCCTCAGACCAGAATATCCAAGAATCATGGAACAACCATGAAAGGTCTAGAGTACACACATAATGGGAATTCCAGAAGGAAAAGTGAGAAAGGAACAAAAGAAATATTTTAAACAATGACTGAAAATTTCCCCAAATTAATGTCACACACCCAACCACAGGGAGCTCAGAGAATAAAAAGCAGAATAAAAACTCCCATAAAGGAGATCTTCCGGCCCAGATGGATTCACTGGAGAATTGTACCAAATGTCCAAAGAAGAATGAACACTAATTCTACACAATCTCTTCCGGAGAATAGAAGAGGAGGGAATACTTTGCAATTAATTCGATGAAGTTGGTATTATATGGATACCAAAACCAGACAAAGCCAGTGCCGAGAAAGAAAACTGCAGAACAGTATTTCTCGTGACTATAGATGTAAAGATCCCTAACAAAATATTAGCAAATAGAATTAAGCACTATATAAAAAGAATCATACACCATTACAAGTGTTTACCCCAAGGGGACAAGGTTGTTTCAATATTCAAGTCAATGTAATCCGTACTATTAACAGCCTAAAAATAAAAACTACACGATCATATCAATCCATGCAAAAAGGAAAACAAAAAACCGTTTAACAAAATTCAACACCCATTCATGATAAAATCTCTTCAAAAGAGAAAAAAGGAATGGAGAGTGATGTAGTTTGGGGAGTTGTGTTGTTGGGCTCCAGAGCTGACAGCCAAGAAAGAAGTCTTTGGTGCAAAGAGGTGGTTCTATTAAAACCCAGGGACAAGGGGCGCCTGGGTGGCTCAGTCGTTAAGCATCTGCCTTCGGCTCAGGTCATGATCTCAGGGTCCTGGGATCGAGCCCCGCATCGGGCTCCCTGTTCCGCGGGAAGCCTGCTTCTCCCTCTCCCACTCCCCCTGCTTGTGTTTCTGCTCTCGCTGTCTCTCTCTCTCTCTCTCTCTCTCAAATAAATAAATAAAATCTTTAAAAAAAACAAAAAACAAAAAAACCCAGGGACAAGACCCGTGGGCAGAAAGAGGGGCCACCTGGGGATTTCGAGGAGGAACTGATTATACACTTTGGGGCTAGGGGAAGAAAAGGGAAGTTCCAAAAGCACTTTCATATGCTAAAGAAGACTCACAGGATCCTGGAGGCTTAGCTATTGTCAAGCTAAGGTTGTTTTTCCCTCTAGCAGGGCATTAACATTAAGAAGGTTGGGAGCTTCGTGGAGGAATGTTCTACTCTGCCTATCTCAAGTATTTGTCAATATGGGCTGCAGGTTATAAGGACATTTAATTTTATCTACGATTCCTTCTGCCTTTGTTTCCCACATCAGAGGGGAACTTCCTCAATGTTACAAAGAATATTTATGAAAATCCTACAGCGGGGGCACCTGGGTGCCTCACTTGGTTAAGCATCTGCCTTCCGCTCAGGTCATGATGTCGGGGTCCTAGGATCAAGCCCCGCATCGGGCTCCCTGCTCAGCAGAGAGCCTGCTTCTCCCTCTTCCTCTGCTCCTGCTTTCTCTCTCTCTCTCTTTCAAATAAATAAATAAAATCTTTAAAAGAAAGCCTACAGCTAATATTATACTTAATGGTGGAAAACTGGCTGCTTTTCCCCTAAAAGCAGGACTAAGACAAGGAGGGCTGCTCTTACCAGTACCATTCCACACTGTACTGGAGGTTCAAGCGGCCGTGGTCACTCCTCTCTGAGTTTCGCCTTCCTCTAATCACAGCTCGGCACTGATAAGCATAAGAAGTCTGTGTCCCACACCCTTGACCGGAATTCTTCAGTTAACTGCTTCCTGCCTGCAGTGTAAAATGTAACGTCTCACGCAGGGTTTAGGGGCCCCTCCAGGCTTCCGCTCCTGTCTACTAGGCAGCCTGATTTCTTCCCACCTGCTCCCTGGCCTTCAGCTCAAGTAATGTTGACCAGTTTGTGGTTCCCCAAACATTTCCTGTGCTTTTGCTTCAGAACCTCTCCACTCACTTTCTCTTTTTCCTGAGGCATCTTTTCCTGCATTACCCATTCCTACTTCTGTGAGCTTAGTCTTCTGGGTCAATGCTTCACTGAGTTTCCAAGTAACTAGCTAATTAGTTAACTAATCCATTCATGACTGGAGTGGGTCCAGTTCATTACATTCTTGGATCACTCTGATGTGGTTTTGGAATATAGGTGAGGTTTGGTGGGGTGTCGGTTAGAGCCAACAGCCAAGAAGAAATTGAGACGTTTTTGGTGCAAGAAGGTGGTTTTATTTTATTTTTTTTAAAGATTTTATTTATTTATTGGATAGAAAGAAAGAGAGAAGCAGAGGGAAAGGGAGAAGCAGACTCCCTGTTGAGCAGGGAGCCTGATGTTGGACTCGATCCCAGGACCCCAGAATCATGACCTGAGCTGAAGGCAGATGCTTAACCGACTGAGCCACCCAGGTGCCCCAAAAAGATGGTTTTACTAAAGCACGGGACAGGATCCGTGGACAGAAAGAGCTGCTGCCCTGAGGTTGTGAGGGGTGGGTGATTATATACTTGGGAGTTCGGGGAGGTAAGGAAAAGGGAGTTTCAGTAGGATTTTCATGTGTTAAAGACTCACGGGATACTGGAGGCCTTGCCATTTTCAAGTTAAGGTTGTTTTTCCCTCTAACAAGGCGTTAACATTAAGAAAGTTGGGAGCAGGGCTACTGGGTGGCTCACTCGGTGGGCGTCTGCCTTCGGCTCAGGTCATGATCCCAGAGTCCTGGGATCGAGCCAGCACTGGGCTCCCTGCTCGGTGGGAAGCCTGCTTCTCCCTCTCCCACTCCCCCTGCTTGTGTTCCCTCTCTCGCTGTGTCTCTCTCTGTCAAATAAATAAAAAAGATCTTTAAAAAAAGAGAGAGAGTTGGGGGCTTCTTGGATGAATATCATACACGTCCCACCCGGGAGGGGTGGGAGGGTTTTCAGTGTGTCAGCTTGTGCTTTGTCTTCAGCTAGCCTTCTGCTCCCTCAATTCCAACCTGTTTCTCTGACTCCCACCGTATCACACAACAGGACCATGACATCAGTATGGGATTATCAAGTTCTTTATCAAACACTTCGGTAGATCTCAGAATGGTAGAACAGTGTGGTTGCAACCCTATCTATCTCATTTCCTCGGCAAAAGTTTCTGCTGGGTGCTGGGGGTCCTATACTAAAAAAGAAATAGGCTGTCTTCTAAGTGGCTGAGAGTCTACTGGGGAGAGCCAAGAACAAGTCAAAAGGCAGTTATAGTCTATTGTGGGAGATGCTAAATAATAACTTTGTTAGAAGTTAACATTTGATTTATAGGAAGGAGCACATTGTCTTGTGGTGAGGTGGGGGCCAGGGGGATGTTGGTCAGAAGCATTTCCCCTCAAGAGGAAATACTGAGCCTCTGTACTGCGGACGGACTTGTCCATCCAGTGGACTTTTAACATCTCCAATCGGACATCCAAATGGCATCTCAAACTTGGCTTGTCCACAATAGATCTCTTGTTACTGTCAGGACAATTTGTGAAAGAATTTGAAATGGGCAAAAAGAGTATTAGCACACTCTTTTGGGTTATCTGTGCCTTTCATGATTGTTGAGTTATTGCGCACCCTGTATATTAACTCAAAGTCGTGCAGGTGATTCTTGTCCATAGAAAGGCAAATAGAGGGACACCTGGTTGGCTGGGTCGGTTAAGCATCTGCCTTTGGCTCAGGTCATGGTCCCAGGGTCCTGGGATCGAGCCCCCGCATCAGGCTCCCTACTCAGCAGGAAACCTGCTTCTCCCTCTGCCTGCCGCCACCCCGTGCTTTGTGCGCTCTCTCTCTTTCACAAATAAATAAATAAAATCTTTAAAAAAAAAAGAAAGGCAAATGGATTTTTTCATATTTTTATTTATTTGACAGAGAGAGAGCACAAGCAGGGGGAGCAGCAGAGGGAGAGGGAGAAGCAGGCCCCCGCAGAGCAGGGAGCCCGACCCCAGGACCCAGGGATCATGACCAGAGCTGAAGGCAGCCACTTAACTGAGCCACCCAGGCGCCCCAGGCAAATGGATTTTATTTGGTGGAGTTACAGTTGATTCCCTTCATCGAGAAGCCAGTTGTGCATCTATTAAACTCATTTTGACCTTCTTCATTGTGTGTGCACAGGGGTGTGTGTGTGTGTATAATTCTTCTTTGAGTCAACTGTAACACCTTACTGATTCCCTCATTCATTAATGAATTAAAGACAACCTTTGTTTATTTTATATTTGTATGAGAGTCATAATTTAATCTTTTCCCCGCAAAATGTTTAGTAGTATTGGAGGTCATCCACCTAGACATCCTATGGATCCCCGTGACAGAGCAAGGTAAACTGTATCGCCAGGGAAGAGTACCTCTCTTCTGACAGAAGCCTGGGCACCTCCTTGCCAGATTTCCAGAGGAAATCCAAGCAGCAATTGATGAGGGGGCAGAAGGCTAGCTGAAGACAAAGCATAAGCGGACACCCTGCAACCTCCCCCCACCCCCCACTCCTGGGTGGGACATGTGTGACATTCCTCCAGGAGTCTCCCAACTATCTTAATGTTAATACCTTGCCAGAGGGGGAAACAGTCTTAACTTGGCAATGGCAAGGCCTCTGACATCTTGCCCGTCTCCTTTAGCATTATCTTGTAGTTCCTCTTTAGCAGTATCCTGAGAGTCTTCTTTAACATATGAAAATCCTTTTGAAACCTCCCTTTTCCTTACTTCCCCCAACTCCTGAGTATATAATCAGCCACTCCTCAAGCCCACAGGGCAGCAGCTCTTTCTGCCCACGGGTCCTGTCCCCGTGCTTTAATAAGCCACCATTTTGCACCAAAGATGTGTCAAGAATTGGTCGTCGGCTCCGGACTCCACCCCACTGAACCTCACCTATGTTCCAAACCCCATCAACAATAGCTCTTTAACTTGCTGATTCTTTGTTTCTTTAGTTTTATACTTCCCTATTGATTTTGTTTTGTTTTGTTTTTTTAAGATTTTATTTATTTATTTGAGAGAGAGAATGAGAGACCGAGAGCATGAGAGGGAGGAGGGTCAGAGGGAGAAGCAGACTCCCTGCCGAGCAGGGAGCCCGATGCGGGACTCGATGCGGGACTCGATGCGGGACTCGATGCGGGACTCGATCCCGGGACTCCAGGATCATGACCTGAGCTGAAGGCAGTCGCTTAACCAACTGAGCCACCCAGGCGCCCCTGATTTTGTGTTTTGTTTTTATTTCTCGTTCCCACTTGGCTTCTAAGCAATGCCCCCAGGTAGCAGCAGTGAGGAAGTTTGGTTTTCTGAGTTTTTTTGAATCCGTTCTCTAGTGAGTAAAAAACAACAGAGAATCCGGTTTGTCTTTTAGTTTTTGTTTGTCTCTTTAGCTCAAATCGATGAAGATGTCTGTGGCCATTGGGACGAACAGCTCTTTAACACTTTGTACAAGGGTAACTTAGACTCCTGGGCTTCTGCAATTTGTTGGGTTTTTTTTTTTAAAGATTTTATCTCTATCTATCTATCTATCTATCTATATCTATCTATCAGAGAGCACACAAGCAGGGGGAGTGGCAGAGGGAGAGGGGCCCGAAGCAGGACTCGATCCCAGGACCCTGAGATCATGACCTGAGCAGAAGGCAGAGGCTTAACTGACCGAGCCACCCAGGTGCCCCTGCAATTTGTTCTTGACATGTAGCTTTAATTGTGGGAGAAAACAAAAGAACTATAAGCTCTTTCTCTCTGTTGTTGTTGCAAATAAGGGAATTGAATAATACCAATTCAGAAACATTTCAGAATCCATGTTTGTCCATGTTAAAAATCCATTTAAAATTCATGTTTGGCAAATGAGACTAGTTCAATCATTTTTAATTTAAAAAAATAGCATGTTAGTTCTCTTAATCAGTATGTCACACAAGCATACATTTTTTTACTTTTATCTTTCCCAAATGTAGACAGGCTTACTTATTAAATAAGCAAACACTTAATGTTATAACACCTAACTATGTAAATTGGTGTTCAACTAAATTCAGTAATTATTCTGAAAAACTTTTTCTTCTCAAATGTAGACAGGCTTACTTACTTATTCTTTAGATAGATTTTATTTGTCAGAGAGAGAGCTCCCGCTGAGCAGGGAGCCCAATGTGGGGCTCTATCCCAGGACCCCGAGATCATGACCTGAGCCGAAGGCAGACCCTTAACTGACTGAGCCACCCAGGTGTCCCGACAGGCTTACTTACTGAATAAGCTAACATTTAATGTTACTTAACACTTAGGATTATTAATTATGTAAATTGGTGTTTGACTAAATTCAGTCATTATTCTGAAAACCTTTTTCTTCCACCTGTAATTAAGTTTTTGTAGCTGATAGATCACTTCCAAGGTTTTAAGGCGCTCTAAAACCTTGGACTGATAATACTATTGAGTTAGTTTAGTGATAATCATTGGATATCTAATGTCTAAACACTATAAAATACCAAAACATTGGTATAATCTTAGCTATGATGTTGCTTCGTATTTTTATGCTATAGGGAGGCGGTATCTCAGCGGCATATTAATGACTGAGTTCATTTTTGCTACTTTGAGATGTAAAAGAGACACATGGGGATCTAGAACGTTGCATTATGTGTGGTTGTGAGCTTTACCATTCTGCTCAAATGCTTGTATAAAACGAACAGTTGTCCCTCACACATCTTCCCCAACCCCCCCTCCCCGGCCAGTTTTCTTTGTGAAATAGAAGGCACTTCAGTTAAAGTTATAAAAATGAATAGGACAGTTGGGGCTATACTGGAGAAATAGTGACGGAGAAATAAAACTGTGCTTGGCTTTTGTTTTTTCAAGGAAAGAGCGTTCCCTGCCCCTCCCCCCGCCCCCTCCCCCGCCCCGAAGAAGTGATTCACAAAGCTCTTGGGCATTCCTTCAGACCACCAAGCAGGAGCCCCTGTTTTCCACACAGGCACTCCCCTCAAAGACATCTCTTACACCTCTAATCACCTCTCGACGTCAGATGCTCAGAGGACCCAGACTACCAAGGGCCCTTCTTCCCAAGAACACTGTGTTGTCATTGGTCACACGTCTGCTCCTCTTGAACCGTGAGCTCTCTGATAGCTGAGTTGCTCTGAGAAAGCAATGAAATAGCGTTGCAAAAGCGCAGTGCCCACAACAGAGCTGATGCATGTAAGTACGTGTTAGTTCTTTTGAAGCCTGGACATTCACCAGCTTCCGAGTGAAGCCAGTAAAATTCTCAGGGCAAGATCCAAAAGTGGCATTTCAAAACGCTTGCCTCTCAAGGAAGCTGCTACAGCCAGGGTAAAAAGGATGCGTTCAGAATCCAGGAGGGCCAGATGTGGCAGAGTCTAGATATAAGTCTTCCCCCACGCCTCGGAGACAGGTTGCCAGCCTCTCATCTGGGCAACCCTCTGCCCCCTGGGAACAAGTCCATCTGGTTACTACCTCCCCAAGGGCTTTCACCCTTGGCCATGTGCTGATACTCTATCTCTCTCCACTGCTTGGCAACGGCTGGCTTGTACTTATTGCTGCCAGAGTCAAGAGACCAGGATACCTTAAGAGAGGTGGAGAAACCTGCTCTCACCTCCCATAGCAGCCAGCCTGGTGCAGAGCCTGGGCTGCAGATGTGGCTGAGATGGCTCCCTCAGTCTAGCCTAGAGTGTCTGCACAGGAGACAGCCCTGGGGCAGGCATGGGGGGCGGGACAGGTGGTAAAGGGCTGGGATCAGGTTACACAGGCAGGAGGATGGTCAGGAAAAGGAGAGAGTCCCCAGGTGAAGTCCTACAGATCTGTCCCCAGAACCTGGGACCTGTGCAAAGGAGACATCCAGAAGGGAGCGGGGCTCAGGCAATAGCCTGCTGAACGGCTTAAGGAGAGCAGCTCCAGAAAGGATGTTGACCTTGCCAGCACAGTGCTCAGGGAGGAAAGAGAAGAGACAGTGCTCTGGAGTGGGAATCAGGATCAGGAGGTGCAGGGGATGGATACAGAGGAGCTGGGCGCCAGGCAGGGGGAGCAGCCTGAGCAGATGGAGGAAAGGAGACTCGGGAGGATTTGTGGGAGCTCAGGGAGCAGGGAAGGGAGAAGTAGCCCTGGGGGCTCAACCTCAAACAACCTCCCAGGGTCCCCTGCCACTATCGTGGACGGATTTCCCCAGGGACTGAGCTCTAGGAGAGCAAGCTGGGCCTGGCTGGGATAGCGATGGTGGAGGAATGTCTGCCTCCAAGAAAAAACCTCCAACAAGGGAAAACCTTGTTTCCTCTACTCTCAACGCTTCTGACACCAAACGCTTTTGCAGTTCTCTGTGGACACCAACCGGGCATCCTATGATTTAAATCAGTTCTGACACTACCCAGAGTTAGGGAAGACCCCACAGGTTAAGAGCCCACTCCCACAGTCCTGACCTCACTTCTGAAGTTCAAGTCCAGACCTCAAGGATTTCCCCCAACCTCATCTTTGGGTTTGATAATTTGCTAGAATAGCTCACAAAACTCAGTAAAGTGCTTTACTGATTATTACTGGTTTATTATAAAGGATACGACTCAGTAACAGCTAAATGGAAGAGATGCATGGGGCAAAGTATGGGAAAGGGGCACAGAGCTTCCGTGCCCTCTCCAGCCGCACCACCCTCCCGGGACCTCCATGTGCTCACTAACCAGGAAGCTCTCCGAACTCCTCCAGGTAGGGTTTTTTGGTTTTGTTTTGTTTTTTATGGAAGCTTCATTATGCAGGCATGGTTGATTAAATCATTGACTACTGGATGATTAATTCAAGCTCCAGACCCCGTTCCCTTCCCGGAATTTGGGGTGGGGCTGAAGGTTCCAACCCTCTGAACACAGGCTGGTTCCCTTGGCCACCAGTCCCATCTTGAGGGCCTTTCCATAAGTCACCTAATTCACATAAATTCAGGTGGTGTTGAAAGGGGCGTGTTATGAATAACAAAATTTGTGCCTTTCATCTTTATCAGTCTAGAGCTGTCTCAGGAGCTAGGGACAAAAATCAAATATCAGGGGCGCCTGGGTGGCTCAGTCATTGGGCGTCTGCCTTCGGCTCAGGTCATGATCCCAGGGTCCTGGGCTCAAGCCCCGCATCGGGCTCCCTGCTCAGCGGGAGGTCTGCTTCTCCCTCTCCCACTCCCCCTGCTTGTATTCCCTCTCTCACTGTGTCTCTCTCTGTCAAATAAATAAATAAAGTCTTTAAAAAAATAAAAAAAAATAAAAAAATATCAAATATTATAACCAAAAAGATGCTTCTATCCCTCTCATTACTTAGGAAATTATAAGGGTTTTAGGAAATCTGGCCAGGGGATGGGGATGAAGGCCGAAATATAGATTTGTCATATCACCATATTATACTGCCCTCCCCCGATGCCCAGCACAGAGTCCTAGTTCTCGTTGGCTGGCTCTTGTATAAACCAAGTCAACCACAGGGTCTTTGCTTTCAGGAACTTGTCATGGAAGATTTGATCTCAATCAACAGAGCTTGAGGGCATCCAAGGATGGGGTCTTCCATCCCTACATGTAGCCCTGAAAGCCAGACAGGGTATGTGTAGGGACACAAGCCCCATTTGCCATCTTCAAAGCCTCCTGAAAGCCTTGATCTGGGCGCCTGGGTGACTCAGTCGGTTGAGCATCTGCCTTTGGCTCAGGTCATGATCCCAGGGTCCTGGGATCGAGTCCCTCATTGGGCTCCCTGCTTAGCGGGAAGCCTGCTTCTCCCTCTGACCCTCTCCCCCTCTACCCCCGCCCCCCTCCCCCCCCCCCCCCCGCCGTGTGCTTTCTCTCTCTGAAATAAATAAATAACATCTTAAAAAAAAAAGAAAGAAAGCCTTGATCTTCAGACTTAAGAGGTTCCTTAGGCGGTCCTTTCAGCCCAGGATTTGTCTCTGAGACTGTGATGGTAGATGTTCAATGATTGTCTACTGGATTGAATTGAATAGGAGCAAGGAGGGATGTTCTTTGAAAGATTAAAGGCAGCCTTGAAAGAAAGGGCTTGGGGACATTCCTGCAATATCACCTTATGACCCAAACATTCTGCAGCCAGAAGCCTGGATTCTAGCCTCAGCCCCATCACTTGTGACCTATATGAGCAAGCAAGTCCCAAAAGCAGCCTGGGCCACTTTTCATCATCTGTCAACCCTCGTGGTCCTTGATATCACGGTTGGCACCTGATACATGCTATTTGAGTAGAAGAGAATAAAATTTTTCATTGAGTATTACACAAATGTTAGCATTGTGTAACAATTAACCACATGAATCAAAAGTTAAGTGGAAACCAGCCAAATCAGAGAAAGATTTGGTAACCAGAATTCAGGTTGACACAAGTCATCCAAAAGCTATATAAAAGCTCTCCAAATGAGTAAGGTCACTCAGTCTAGACAACTCAGACTTCACTGAAGTCTGGACGGGTTTTGCCAGCTATGCTTTTGCAACCATCAGTAATAACTGCACATCTCTTGTCTCTATCTTGGGTTCTTTCACAGATGAAGCAAATCCAGGTCCTTTTTTTTTTTTTTTAAGATTTTATTTATTTGTCAGAGAGAGAGAGAGAGCAAGAGAGCACAAGCAGGGGGAGCAGCAGACAGAGGCAGAGGGAAAAGCAGGCTCTCCGCCGAGCAGGGAGCCCGACGCGGGGCTTGATCCCAGGACCCTGGGATCATGACCTGAGCCGAAGACAGATGCTTAACCAACTGAGCCACCCAGGTGCCCCTGCAAATCCAGGTCTTCGAAGTCTAGATGGTGGTTCACAGTGACCGTATTCAGGGATAAGGTTTAGGTATAGAATGGATTCATAGAATAAAAGGAATTCTCTTCCAGCATAATGTCCAAGACTTGATAAATGCTAAACTCAAAGCAAACACAGGGACTCATGAGACACAATGAGAGACCATTTTTCTATGTCCTGGAACCTCTGCTTTTGTCCACCAGTATGGACCCTTCTAGTCACCACCACCCAGGGACAAGTAGCCATTTAGCTACTTTTTCGGTCCATGGCCATACTAGTTATCTATTGCTGTGTAACAAACCTAGTGACTTGAAACAATGCATAGTTATTATCCCATAGTTTCTGTGGATCAGGAGTCCAGGTAGAAATCCTAAGAGATACTACACAGTTCTTTGCTTTGGGTCACACAAGGCTGCAAACAAAGTGTTGTCCAGGGCTGGGTTCTCATCTGGAACCCTGACTGGGAACGAATCTGCTTTGAAACTCACTCAGGTCTCTGGCAGATTTCTTTGAGATTACCTCACCAAGCGCCCTCCCTGGCTTTTTGCGCAGTATTGCCAGAGGTCCCCCTCAGCTCCCAGAAACTACTCCCAGCTCCTAGAGGCTTCTGGAAGTTTCTTGCCATTATAGGCTTTCCCAACATAATCCAGCCAGCAAGAACAGTCTCTAGGTCACCTAGCAAGCTGGAGTAGTACAAAATGTAACCTAATTAAGGAAGTGACATTCCATCACCTTTGCTCCACTTTGCTTGCTTTCTGTTGGTTAGAAGCAAGGTCTTGCTTACGTTGTCCAAGGGGAGAGGGTTCCCCCCAGGAGGCACGGATTGTGGGGGCCACCTTAGAGTTTGTCTATTATAATGGCCAAGTTTGAAAGTTGTCTGGCAACCTGAAAGCCACACACAGAATTCAACATGATTGTGTTAAATTATTTACTAGACCCAAAGAGAAAAGGAAGGAAGGAGATACTTCCATGTTACTCCCAAAGCCTTCCGTGAATTATGTTCTTCTTGGTCTCCTGCTAGGTTCTTCCCTGGCCAGGTGATCAGGTCAGAACCATCTGAAAATGCTTTGCTAACACCTAACCCCACCAGGTTAGGATATGGCATCCTTTCTTTATTTCAACAGCCATCCTGGAGAGAGAGAGTGCTTCCCATTGCTAAAAAGAAAGACTTCATAGTTTACCTAACTGCAATTTTAGCCTCTCCCAGGAGTGGAATTTTAGACCGAAGGGTCCAGAATTTCCTGATCAGCACAGTGAGGTCATCTGCTTGATAAGACCTTCTGCCCTTCCCCCAAAGGAAGGTGACCTGCCTGAAACAATCTTTTCTTTCCTTTTGCTCCTGCACTTGTTTATCTTCCTCCTTTCTGCCCATACAAGGCTTCCATTTTGAACTCCTCAGAGCACCCTTCTGTTTGTGAGGTGGGATGCTGAATAAAGCCAACCAGCTCTTTAAATTCACTCCGATCTTTAACACCATCTTTCCTCTCACCTTGGGGTTTAACCTTAGGTAACACTTCTCCCAGTTCTGCTCCCCCCTCTTCAGGCTCTCAGAGACCTTCGCTGGCTTCTCGCCCCACCCTCCAAGTAGCCTTCCCATCCTCTGATCTTGTCTGTGCATCAACCAGGTCTCAGAGGGGCCAGAAACCAAACTCAGCAGCGCATTGGATGCAACATTTTTCCGGCAGGAGGTGTTGGCTTTGATCAGCTCCTCAAAGGTCCCCTTGTACCCGAGAAGGTGAAGAACCATGAGTTAGGACATTTGGAAGAAAATTCAGACAGCTCATGTTTGGGGGCATGGCTGGCCTCCTTCTCCCACCCTCTGCCCAAGGTCTCAGGCCTGAGCTGGGCAATCCTCCATAGCCCCAGCTGCCGGCCAGGGAAAAGCAAGGTGGTGGGACATGTGTCTCTGCCTGGAGCAGTTCCCAAACCCCACTTAGCTTATCGGCCACTCTGCCCTTGCCTTGAGCCTCAGACCTAGTGCGCTGATAGCACCCTCCCCTATCACAGAGTCAACACCTTGGGGGCTGGGAAGGGAGGGGGTTGAAGGCCGCCGTGTGGCTAAGGCTGCAGGTGTGCTTGGCCTTCATCTTGACAGGTCCTTTGGCTTCTCTCCCTCATTTTTTCTCTGCCCAGGCCCTACAGCAGATCCAAGGGTGGCATCTCTTTCCTGCTTAGGGCTCTCCCGGATCTGTTGTCAAGTAAGATCCCCTGTTCTTTGACTCTTGGCCCCAGGCATGTTCCTCCTCCCCTATGGGAACCCTGGCGGGCCCTGCGCTCCCAACACCTGAGCCCCGTGCTGGGATGCAGCCTGGGCTCCCAGGCAGGCGCTTTGAACCTGCGGTTGACGGACGTCCCTGGATTCTGACGGGGGCAGGCCACGGGTGCAGAAGAGATGGCAACTAGCTGAGCATTTGCAGGCTCGGGGGTGCGCTGTGGGGCCGGCGTGGCAGAGGCTTTCAGCTGGGTGCAGGTTCCCGGGGGTGGCGCTGGGAGAGTCGCAAGGATTCCCCACCAGGGTTCCTGCCTCGCGCGGCCAGAAGAAAGAAGCAAGTTGTGGCTAGAAAGGCCTCTGGAAGCAATGTAGACCACGCATCCTGGAAAGCAAATCGGGCTGGATGGGCGAGTTATCGCGGGAGTGACTTAGGGCAAAATCAAAGCTCCGGAGCTTAGAGAGCTGAGAGGGCCCCATCTTCTCCCTCTTTGTGAAACTAAGTTTGTAAGAGGGAGATAGGGAGGCCACGCTGGTTGTGGTTGGGAAATGAGGCCAAACCACCAGTTTGCAATGGGGGGCACCGGCTCAGACTGGCTGGGGGAGGTGCAGGGGATGGCACTCAGCTCGCGGGGTCAGGTGGAGGGAGCAGGGGACTGGTCTGAAGGCAACCCGGACCCTGAGCCAGTCTGCTGCTTTTGCGGACAACTGTGCCGGCAAATGTGCTTGTGAGCAGCAGATTCACCCT